TGTTTTGTAGATATTCATCCATTATGAAAACTTTTCATAGAAATCAAAAAAAGCACAAAGAAAAATTACAATGTATAAAAACTGCATTCATACAAGTATGGGAATTTATGAAAGCTATCTTGTAAAACTGTAATTCAGACATCTGATGGGACTATTCAATTAAATGGGAATATTCAATTAAATTCATAATCACTGTGATTTATTTTGCAATGGTATAGGAAGTTTTTCATTTTGAGGGAAGTTTTATATAGAAAAATAATAACAGCACATTTTACAAATAAGAAAATTATCATGAATCCTTTTTATATTTTTATAAGTTTTAATACTTTAGAATGTGAATATTTAGATTAGAATTATACCAAAATCCCTACTAATATGCACTAGCTATACTAATGAGTATCACTGAGTTTTGTTATTGCTTGTGTCTTTGATGCTATCATGGGGTTTTAAGTTCTTACAGCATTTAATAATCCTTGATAAATGGTCATGCAAATATCTTTATTGTTCTTTCATATACAAGTGTGAATGATATCAGAACTTGTAAATTTTAGAACCAGTTTTCAATTTCTATGAACAACTCTCATTCAATTTATAATAGGTAATATTGCATATACTCATCACTTTGCAGAGGCTGCCTTTATTTGTATTTTTTCTTCCTAACCACCAATGTAATATAGTTCTTAATTTCTTTAGATTTTCTTTAATGACATTCAGCAAAGTGTTCTGAATATTGCTCTTTCATATAATTGGTTGATTTATTTCTAGTTTTTCTTTTAGTTTTGTCAATTCCTAGTTTTTGGCCAGTAAGCATAGGGTGGGCTGTAGTTTGGGATTATTTAACATGTTCTTAATCAGTTTGAACATGTACATTTCTATTCCTAGTTTGTTGAATGTTTTTGTCTTTTTTGTTGTTTCTTGGGTTTTGTCTTTGTTATGCATTGATGTTTAGAATGTATGGATATCCCACTTTAATTCTTTGTTTTGCTCTATGTATTGAGATGCTTATCTGTGTAGATTTTTGTCCCTCCTTTATTTCATTAACTCCAGATAACGTTTATGGTTTCTAAAATTCCCTCCATTCCTTCTTTTTTTTTTTTTTTTTTTTTTTTGGCTATTTTATTTTTTTTTATTTTTTTTTAATAAATTTTATTGTTATATTCCCCATACAATTGCAGCCCCCCCATTCTGACCCCAATCCCTCCCTCCCGCCCCGCCCCCGCCCCCCTAAAAGTGTCTCTGGTTCATAGTTTTTTGTTGATTTTGATTTTCACTTTCTTATAGTTATTCATTTTCCTGGTCCCTTATTTAAGTTTTCTAGATTACTGCTATGAGTGAGACCATCCGGTATTTTTCTTTTTCTTTTTGGCTTATTTCGCTGAGCATGATCCCTTCCAGCGCCATCCATGTTGCTGCAAATTGCATGTGTTTATCTTTTTTGAATGCTGAGTAATATTCCATGGTATATATGTACCACATCTTCTTGATCCAGTCATCTATTTTTGGGCATTTGGGTTGTTTCCAAAGCTTAGCTATTGTAAACAGTGCTGCTATAAACATAGGGGTGCAGGTGTTCTTTGGAATTGATGTTTCTGTGTCCTTTGGGTAAATACCTAGGAGTGGAATTGCTGGACCATATGGAAGCTCTATGTTTAGTAGGTCCAGAAATCTCCATACAGCTTTCCACAGTGGTTGGACCAGTTTGCACTCCCACCAACAGTGCAGAAGAGTTCCTTTTTCTCCACACCCTCGCCAACATTTGTTGTTGCTAGTTTTTTTAATATGTGCCATTCTCACTGGTGTAAGATGGTATCTCATGGTAGTTTTGATTTGCATTTCCCTGATGACAAGTGATGTTGAACATTTTTCATATGCCTGTTGGCCATTTGCATTTCCTCTTCAGAGATGTTTCTTTTAAGCTCTTCTGCCCATTTTTTGACTGGATTATTTTCTTTGTTGTTGTTGAGTCTCATCAGCTCTTTGCAGATTTTTGTGATCAGTCCTTTATCATTAGTGTTGGGTGCAAAAATGTTCTCCCAGTTGGTGGGGTTTCTCTTTGTTTTTGTTATTGTCTCTTTTGCTGTGCAAAAGCTCTTTAATTTGATGTAGTCCCAGCTGTTTATCTTTGCCTTCACTATCACTGCTTTGGGTGATGTGTCTGTAAAGATGTCTTTGATGTGCATATCACGTAGTGTTTCGCCTATATTTCCTTCTATATATTTTATGGTTTCAGGTCTTATGTCTAGTTCTTTAATCCATTTTGAGTTGATTTTTGTGTATGGTGTGAGGCGGTGGTCAAGCTTCATTCTTTTGCATGTAGCGACCCAGTTTTCCCAGCACCATTTATTGAACAAACTTTCTTTGCTCCAATGCATATTCTTTGCTCCTTTGTCAAAGATTAGTTGACCATAAATCTGTGGGTTTATTTCTGGATTTTCTATTTGATTCCATTGGTCTGTATGTCTGTTCTTGTTCCAATACCATGCAGTTTTGATGATTATGGCTTTGTAGTATAGTTTGAAGTCTGGGAGTCTGATGCCTCCATTCCCTTCTTTTTTTTTCAGGAGAGCTTTGGCTATTCGGGGTTTTTGGTGATTCCATATGAATTTCATCAATAATTGTTCTATTTCTTTGAAGAATGACATTGAAATTTTGATTGGAATAGCATTGAATCTGTATATTGCTTTTGGAAGGATGGCCATTTTAATAATGTTTATTCTTCCAATCCATGAGCAGGGGATGTCTCTCCATTTCTTTGTGTCTTCTTCTATTTCTTTTAACAGTGTTTTATAGTTTTCTTTGTATAGGTCCTTTACCTCTTTTGTTAGATTTATTCCCAAATATTTGATTTTTTTTGTTTCAATAACAAAAGGGATGGTCTTTTTGATTTCTTCTTCTTCAGATTTATTATTTGTGTATAGGAAGGCTACTGACTTTTGCGTGTTGATTTTGTATCCTGCCACTTTACTGAACTGATTGATGAGTTGAATTAGCTTTTCTGTGGAGTTTTTGGGGTTCTCTATGTATAATATCATATCGTCTGCAAATAGTGATAGTTTGACTTCTTCTTTTCCTATTTGGATTCCTTGGATGTCTTTCTCTTGTCTTATTGCCCTGGCTAGGACTTCCAGTATTATATTGAAAAGCAATGGTGAGAGTGGACATCCTTGTCTTGTTCCAGATCTTAATGGAATACCAAACACGTTTTATGAAGCCAACATTACACTAATACCAAAACCGAACAAGGACAACACAAAAAAGGAAAACTACAGGCCAATCTCCCTAATGAACACTGATGCAAAAATCCTCAATAAAATTTTAGCTATCAGAATCCAACAATGTATCCATAAGATAATTCACCATGACCAAGTTGGATTCATTCCAGGGGCACAAGGATGGTTTAACATCCGAAAATCAATCAACGTTATCCAACACATCAACAAAAAGAAATATAAAAACCATATGATAATATCAATAGATGCTGAGAAAGCTTTCGACAAAGTGCAACACCCATTCATGATAAAAGCCCTTGAAATTCTGGGGATACAAGGAACATACCTCAACATCATAAAGGCCATCTATGACAAGCCAACAGCCAGTATCATTCTCAATGGTGAAAAGCTGAAAGCAATTCCTCCATTCCTTCTTTTGCATTTTCTGCCCTTTTTTCCTCTCCTACCTTCCTTCTCTCTTTCCCTTATTCCTTTCATTAATGCTGAATTAAATAAGTATTCCTAGAACTAAATCAATAAGGATTTTTTTTTAACACACTGTAGTGTCAGTTTTTTATTACTTTTTTTAGACTATTGACACTTCATCCTTCCTGAGTAAGAGTGTCTGGTATTAATATTAAAGTTTTAGAGATAATAAAAACAAATTGTGGGGTATGTCCTCCTTGCTCTGTTTTCTAGTGGAAAGATGTATTAGATTAAAATTATGTATTTCTTGAACCGTACATAAAATATCTACACCTGATGTTTTTTCTCTTTGGAAAAATATTTTTACATAACAGTTGATTTTCTTTAGATATTGTTCTACCACTCAGATTTCTTATTTCTATTAGAGCCACTTATGACACTTTCAAGTTCACCCTCTTTCCATTTTAAATAACTTCTGTATTTGTATTTATAATACCCGTTTCCCTAATATTATGACTTTTTCTCTCCTTCTACTTTGGTAAATTGAGAAATTTGTCTAATTTTGTTTTTTTACTAGTCTCATTTTAAATGTATTAATCTGTTGTAATTTTAAATTTGGATTTTTTTTTCAGAAAATGACAGAAACAGCATTACTAAGATTCAATTTTTAAATTATGAGTTCTGCATTTATGCCATTGCCTAAACAGTCACTTTTTTTTACAACTCAGAATTAGTAAACTTAATTAAGAAATGGGAAAATTTCATTTAAAATATACTTTGAAGTTTTGACTATAATATTTTATGTCGAGTACAGGTAATATATGAATTCCCACATTAAGTTCAGATTTAAATTAATCTTTATTTTCCTTCAATTAAGTTAACATATCGTGCTACATGTATTCTATCAGAAGAAAATAATCCTTTGTAAAAAGAACTTTATTTTTTATTTTCTCCAAATTTATTTAGATTTGAAACATTGAACCTTTTAAAGATGATGTGATTTTTTTACCAACTGCTGTACTTTTCTTAGATTAATGATGAAACCAATTGTTCATCCCTTAGACTCTGACAGCATACAATGAATTCTGACAACTTTCTCCCACTCCAGTTCCTGAATAACATGTAATTTCCTTGATATGACAAAATATCATTTTAGCATTCATGCCATGCCTTGGTGTTCATTTTTCATTTTTCTGTAAGTTAATGAGTTCTAGCAAAGAGTGCCTTCATAAAGTTGTCTTTTGCCAAAAGTCCTTCTATAGCATATGGAACAAGTGACAAGCTACAGCATTAAGGAGATTTGTTTTAAACCAAGCCTCTAAAGTGTGCATGGAAACACTAAATACATCCCTGTGTGTTTTGCAGACAATCCTACATTGCTGAGCCATGTCACAGTGGGTATTAGAGTCTTGGATGTCAATGACAATCCACCCGAACTTGCCAGGGAATATGATATTGTTGTCTGTGAAAATTCTAAGCCTGGCCAGGTAAGTGAATTGTTTCCTCTCTATCATTCAAACAGAAGAAATTCAAGTAGCCCCATTTCTATTATCCTTTTGTATAATTCTCAAAATCCTCCAGTGTTATTTTCATGCTCAATGAAAATAATTTTATAAGGCTTATTTTTAGGATGAAATAGATTTTTTTGAGAATCATACAAAATACAATTTTGGCGAGGCAGACCTCTCCTGTCTCACCCACCGCTACCCCCAGCAGTGTATTTCAGTCAATCGGCTTGTTCTGTTCCCCACTCTGTCCCTGGTGGATCCTCTCAACCCCCGCATCTCTGGCCTGTACCCCAGCTCTTCTATGCATAAATAAATAAATCTTTAAAAAAATACAATTTTCCAGGATCCCACATGTAATAAAAAAAATGAGCTCTTGTATGCATGCATTCATCCTACCAATATTATTGTTTTGAACGCCTCCTGGGCAGCCCTGTAGTAAGTGATGAGGAAACAGTGAAGTCATCTGACCTCATGAAGTCTTCTGACCTCTGACTCTGAAAGCTTTGAGACATGGAACATATGTGTGGATGTAATTTGTCAGGTAGTTAGTCTGGCATATCTGAAGGAAGGTCATCCTGACCAAGGAGCATGAATTGAGTGGGAGCATGGAAGGAGTAGTACATTCGTCCCCTCTGCTGCAGTACAATTTATACAAATTTAGCAGCTTAAAAACAATACTCACTTATCATTTCACAGTTTCTGTAGGTCAGATGTCTGCTCATGACTTAGCTGGTCTTTGCAGGGGCTCATAAGGCTAATCGTGGTGTCACTGGCCGGGGCTGCATTGCTGCAGCGCAAGGCAGGCAGATCATTCAAGAATACAGTGTTGGCAGCTCTTGGTTGCTTTAAGCTGTAGACCTGAGAACTGCAGGACTTTTCTCAGCAATTCAAGTTTCCACAGAATCATGAGATGATAAATATTCATATTTACTTTTACATTTTGCTTTTGTTTTTTAACCCGACATAGGTTAGATAAAAGATAAAAATTTGAATATACAAAATTTTAATATTTTTTAAAATCAAGAGATAAGACCAAATAAATATAAAATAGTTGGAAAATGGTAATCAAATTAAAATGATGTGAATTCAATCAAGTATATATTAGTATTAAGGATAAAAATCACCTAAATTACCCTTATTAAAAGATCCCTGTTGTCAAAATAGATAAGAAAAAAATCAATTAAATGTTGTTTATAAGAGGCAGTTATAAATAAAATTAAGAAAAAAATTAAAGAAAATATATGGCTAAGTATAATTACTGTATCCATACTTACAAAATTACAAACACAATATTTGTTCATATACACAGACACACACAATTTATCAAAGAAAAAAATTACTAGCTATAAAGAGGTACATTTGATAAAAGCAATCAGTGTAAGAAGTAGAAATAACAATTTGAAATTTTTATATACTTACCAACAATGGTTCAAAATGAACAAAGCTTAAAATGACAGAAATAGTTAAGTCTCCAATTGTTTTGTCACAAGTACAAAATTGTTGAAGATAATCCAACAAAAAATATTTTAAAATGAAAAGGAAAAAACAAAATTTATTTTAGTAGGTGAACATTAGCTTTTGCTAATTTTTGACATCCATTAATAATAATAACATTCACTAGTAGATTTTGTGAATGACTCTAACTCTTTTGCTAATATATGTTAAATAGAAATGCATTTCTTCTAATTTTATATCACAAGCAATTAAAAAATAAAAATATACTATTTAACATCTCATTAAAAGAGAAAAATATGTAGAAATAAACAATTCTTCATAAGTATAACTTGATGTATAAATTACCTCTAGTAAACTTTGATCCTCTCCTCACTCAGTTTTTGTTTATTTGGTTTGTAGATTATTCAGAGTTCAAAATGGGTCATTTGAAATGTGATACAAAGGATAAAAAGCCTATACATATGTTAATTATTGCATCAGTAACTTTTTAGGTATTTTCTTTTCAAATAACTTATTACTTTAAAATTAATTGTATAGATATGTGATTGTGTGCTTTTGTGTGTGTTTGTGTGTGTGTGTATGTGTGTGTAGGGAGAGAGAGAGAGAGAGAGGTTTTGCCTCAGAGAAATTTCTAACCCTCAAGGATAAATTGTGCTCTTGTATCAGGAGCAGAGCAGCTAGTGATTTCATTGCCATCCATGTAGCCAAAATTGCTGAAAATCTGGGCAAAATGATATTCTTGCTCTTGAATCAGCTGAAGCTTCTCCTGCAGATGTGAGCCTCTCCCAATCCAAAATGTTAGTGTCAGTTTTCCAGATTGAAGTCTCTTGTGATTGGTCTGTGACCTTAACTTTTTCCTTTGACTTCTCATAGTGTCCATTTCTCACTCCTGAGAAAGTGGAACCCAGCATCCTCATGGAGCCATGCTCACCTTTCAAAGTCTCTCTCCTAGCTTTCTGTTTCACCCTCTCTGCTGACCACCTAGACTTTCTAGAACTTCTAAAGTGATTTGTGTGGCAGTAAGTGCTTTCTTCTCTGAAACAAATAAAAAAAAAAATTGTCAGAATTCCTGGTCTCTTCAGAAACCTAATAGTGTAAGAGTTTATGACTAGATAAGTCTCAAATTCCTTTAAATGTGGTTTAAATGTAGTTACCTTATTCTCCTCACAGAAAAGTCACTGCATTTTTATAGACAGGGCTACATTTCTGATAAGCATTTTTTTTTCTTTTTGGGTCCCATTCACCATTTATATAATTTATCTCTTATCTTCCTATACCTGTTATTGTTTTCAGATTGCAATCACTACACTCAGAATTCTAATTTATATTGCTATGTTATTCCTTCCTTTTACCTTTTAAAAGCTAAATTCACATTTAGCATCATTGCTGTCTTTAATATTGTATGATTTAAATGTCACTATAAGATAATGGGATTCTTTCATGTTGCTTGAACATGTGTTTCCAACCCCTTCAACAAAATGAACTCAAACTTTTCATTGAGGGGATAAAAATCACTTTAAAGTATTATTTATTGGATCCATATTTAAATAAATCATTGGCAATCTCTGTGGTCAAGAGTATGAGTAACTCATTATAGGGAAAATGGACTGAATTTTCCTGTTGTTTAATTTTGCAGTCTTTGGCTCATTTAACCTGGCATTTCTAACATTTCTGGAGAAACTTCATGTGTTTTGATGCAGAGTTGAATAAGGAACTCTATTTAAATAATGATTTGTGAAATAGGTCTTCTGATGTGTATTTGTATTGCCTAGCTGTATGACAGTTCCGCTTTCTATGACAATCACTTTCAGAATTACAGATATTTCTATTATGGATGTTGTGTATCTAAATAGAACAGCATGTGGCTATGGCAAAGAGATTGGTCTCTTATGAAAGCAGAGGTTTAAATCACATATAACTTCAGATTTCAGGTCAATTCATGTATCTGAATAAACTGAAACAATATGGTTCTCTGACTTAATATATTTTTCTATTCTAAAAACAAAATCCTAAAGTATCTGGCATGAAAAAATATTAAAAAGAGAATCATGTCCATATGAAATTTGATGCCCCTTCTCAAAGTGGAATGAATTTAAAAACAGTTTACATATGTCTATACTTTGATACTTTTTGAAAAATAAAGAGAATGCTTTTTATTTTACTCATATTGAATTTTCCCTCTATGTCTCAATTTTTTAAGTAAACTTAGAAAACATGACATTTTAAAATAAATTTTGTATGATACCTGCTTCTCCTATCACAGTTATTTACAATAAAACTTTATATGAAAATAGTTTATTAGATCAGTAAAAATTTGACACCAAGTCAGAAATCAAACACATTTAACTAACAAAAGTTAGCATTATGATAAAGTTAATGTATGACCCCATTTGAGATTATATTATAAAGCAAACTTAATTAATTTAAAGTGATACAATGCATTTCACAAAACTTCCGTATTTATTGAAACATTTAGTCAGTTCATTTATCAAAGACTAAGTTATTTGTCCAAATTTGTAAAACTGACTGTTGTTCCCTATAAAGTGCTCTAGAAGCAGTCGACTATGGAAAACACATTTAAAAAAAGAAGATACAATTATTTGATTAAAAAATTCTATTTTTTTTCCCAAAGTGAGTCCTTATCTGTGGACATTACCAAAATATTCTGCTGACTGTCTTGTTTATCACTTATAAATACCAACTAGCAATTTGAATTCACACTCCCCTCCTTGAATAAAATAAATCTGTGATTTTGCAAACATCTGTAAAACTAATAAAACATCTTAGTCATGATAGTGCATGTGCAAGAGAACATCTAAGTTCAGTCAGAGGGCGAGAGTTAAAAAATGATTAGTTGTGGACTGAATAGAGCAAGCCCACAGCTTACAAAGTGCTTAGTCAGCACCATGTGGATAAATCATAACCTTTGAAAAAGGGTAGAAAATGCTGATGATGGAGACATGGCAAATATCTAGATTTATGCCGGAAATTTAAATCTTCTAAATTTAAATCTTTAATATGTTAACTTCTTAGCTATATTTTCTAATAAAATTCTGAGGAAACAGTACATGGAAATTCTTTTTTTGTCAATCATCCTGTTGAAAAAGAAGAGTGATTAATAAACCTGAAAAAATTAAATGTCGTCTAGGATGCAGACAGTATCTCAAAGTTCTGGATAAAATCAGACCAAACACAAGGTATTTGCAAACACATCTTAGAAAAGTTATGAAAAAATTAAGTAAGATGTGTAACCAACAATTTCACAACAATTCAAGTAAATGACTCATTGTTAAACTAAATATAATCAACACATTGTGAGTGAGAACTCTTTTTGAGGAAAATATTGTCACAAGTGAGCTTCCTGATAAATTCAGATTTGAACTAACTTGTATAAAAATGGAAATGTTACTATTAAGAACAGAAAATCACCAAACACAATGTAAAATGAATCATACCTGATATTAACAAAGGAATACTATTATTTGTAAAAATATCAAGAAAATTTAAAATGACTTATAAAATAAATTTGAAATGAGAAGAAAACACTTGTCTTAATGGCATAATAATGGGAAACTTAAAATAATTTAGTTGATGTGAATGAATTGTTTTCCTCCAAAATTGCATTCCAGGATAAAGAGTGAATCTGCAGCTACGTCAGTAAATTACGAGGTACCATAAGAAATAGGATTACAATTTGAGAACCAAAATGCATGAAGTGTAGGAGGGAGAGCATTTATTTTCCAAAAGAAAGTGGTTTATTTTTATCTCACCTCACAAACAACCTTCAAATTTTGATTTTTTTTAAAGATTTATTTAATTATACAAGAACTGGGATACAGGTCAGAGGCACGGGAGGGTGAGAGAATTCACCAGAGACAGAGCAGGGAGCAGAACAGGCAGACGGATGGAAGACACTGCTGAGGGAGCAGTGGGTGAGACAGGAGAGGTCTGCCGCGTCATGTGGGTTTCTCCCTGGCTGGCCGGGAATTGAACCTGCACTGCAGAGGCTGCAGACAGCTTCACAGCCTGGCGTTCAACCCACTGCGCCACCGGGGAGGCCCTCAAATTTTGATATTTTAATTTCCACATTACGCTAAGGAGCTGACATGAAGGGGATGCAGACATGGTCTTCAGTCCCAGCACCTTCAACTCTGGGAAGTTTCAAACACTTGAAAAAAATTGTCAGGCTGCTTTTGATCATCCATCAAGTCATTATACCACAAGCAGTCAAAAGCCAGTAATAAGTAGAAAAAAAGAATACCTATAAGAGACTAGCTGTGGTTCAAATTGAAAAGAAGCCAAACAACAAGCAAATGTTCAATTCACAAATAAATAATATGGCAGGAAATACAGGGGATGAGAGATGGATGCTGGGAGGTGGGGGGGTCTGGGCTGCTTCACATAGGATCTCTTGCTCAGGAAGCAAATGTTAAGGTGTGAAAGGAATGAGCTTTGGGAAGATGTGGTGGGAATCGCTTATCCTAAAGGGCTGTCTTCACTCGCATTTCATGAAAAAACAGGCTGTCCTGGCTCTGTTCTCAGTTCTGCTCTGCTCCTCAGCTCCCAACAGTGAACGGACTCAGTAGTGGAGAGTCTAAAATTTACGCTTTAACTTTGTTATATTTTGGTGGATTTTTTCACTTGTGAGATATTTAAATGGGCCAGAGTTGAGTAAAATATTCCTCAAAATCCTATCAGTCTTGAAATGGACACACTATATGTCACAGAAGGAAACTTTTTTTTTTATGGTTCTCTTTTTCCCCTGTTTTTAATTTCTCTAAGTAGGAGCTGGGAAGATTAGGATACTAATTTTGAACAAGGGAAGTATTGTCCTGCTAGTTCATTTGTGTGTGTGTGTGTGTGTGTGTGTGTGTGTGTGTGTATTAAGAGTATAATGACTATAGCTTTTGGAATTTATATTCTGCTCTTAGGAAACCTAGAATCTTTTATTTATATATTCTAACTTTTTCTGCTGCTTATTGTGCATAAAGTCCAGATTTTGGAATTGCTTCTCTTAACCACTAGGGATGAGGTATATACAATAAAACTCTGAGGTATCTGGTTTTGTCTGTTCCCCTCTTACAAATTTGAAGCACGTCACCATCCTTCAGGGACTGAGATTTCTCATCTTTACAGTACCGGGGCTGGATCGTGATCTCAAAGGTCTCTTGCAACAGCAGAGAGACTTAAGATTTCACTGCTTTTGCATTTCCTGACTGAGACCAACATATATTGCAAGCCTGTTCTACATCAGCACTGGGATATTTGTATTTGTACAAACAATACTTCATGTCTCCCCAAACAGGTGTTCACACAAAGTCTTACAGCTAATTGGCCCCAAGGCACTGTGGGTGATAAAGACAAACATTTTTAAATGTTTGTGTCATGCTAGAAAATAAATGGAATGATTATAAATTATGTCATAATGTTTTCTAGAATCTAATGCAAAGACGAGCAAGTAAATTGCTGCTTTTACTTGATGAATTTGAAAACACTCAAGGTAGAAAGAGTGATCTTTTAAAACTTATATGTGTACAATTGAAAATGTTATTATTAAAGTCAAGGGACTCAGCCAAATTAACTACTAAATATTTGCTTTTCTTTAGGTTATTCATACCATCAGTGCCACTGATAAAGATGATTTTGCCAATGGAGCAAGGTTTAACTTCTTTCTTGATGAACGCCTGTCTATGAACCCAAACTTCACTCTAAAGGACAATGAAGGTGAACATAAATACATATTTTTTGTTTGTTTATGTGATGCTACCTGGTTTGTCTTGATATGGATTAGGCCTGAGTAGTTTTGCTTTATACTTATATCCCTGTGAACAGCTTGCAAATCAGCATTCAAAGTCAGTTTGATGTTAACATATTATGATCTGTGAATAGCTTGTATTTAAAATTGAGCCATATGTACAAATAACTTTCATTGAATTTATTCAGAAGCATCCCTTTAAACAAGAAATGTACATGTAATGTGCTCTTGGGCAAATTTTAAGAGAAATCTTAGCTGACAAATATGTTTATGAGGGCAGCTGCTAGGAGGTTGAAAAATTTAAATGAGGGGAAATGAAAAATATGTCCTAGGGATAGTTAGAAAAAGAAATGCAATGTTTGAAATCATCTTGCATTAGCAAAACTATCAAGATGTGCTGTACAAATTATATTTCCCCTTGTTATTATGAATATTTCACAGAATATGGCTAGATAAATATGCATAATTGCAGGGTATTGTGGAAATTTTTGAATTAGTTTTTGCTTAAGCTTCTGTATCGTGTAGAAAAAAAGGAAACCATAATTTTGTTGCCAGAGAAGATCCATCCCAGAGTAGATTCCTCAAGGTTAAGTACAAATCACTCTTCTATATGTACCAGCAGCATTAAGATTGAACATGTGCAACATTCTGATTAGCATCACCTTTCTTCTTTAACTATCTTTGATCACCTTTATCTGAAGGTGTTATTATTGAAGCGTCAATGCACCTCAGAATCACATGAAACAAATACATCCATGCTGTAATAAAATTTAGTTTCTTTTTTTTAATGTTCGTGGAAAAACATTTTCATGCACAGGAAAAATAATACCATGAAATGATGACCCAGTATGACATATCTTCATTATAACTAAGTTTCTTTAAGTTAATATAGCAACAATTCCATAGTTCACATGTAGTCTCAATAAGGTTTATGTGAAAATACAAAGCTTGGTTTGCTCTCATTTTAACTTCCTAAGACAGCTCTACTGATGGCAAAGGCATGTTTGTGTATGACACACTGTATTTCATTGACTATCGTGCATGCATTCACATCTGAACAGCTCACTTTACAATCTGAGATATATTTAGTTTATTAAATATATTAAATATGTCAAAAGGAATTCTATTTTCCCATATATCAAGGAATTACACCCATACTTATATTTCACTGGATTTTTTTTTTTTCAAGGAAAATGTAAACTCTTGGCAATCACAACAACATGAATGGACCTGGAGAGGTGTGCTAAGTGAAATAAGGAGGAAAGAGAAAGCAAATACTGGTAGATTTCACAAGTATGTGGAACATAGAGAAACAAAACCAAGGCACCAAAATGCAGAACAAGTTTAGGAGCACTTAATAAATAGGGAGTATAAAATATAGGGAGTATAAAATATTTGGAAGAAATCAAAAGAAATTATAGCAAAAATCAATATCTGTAGGTAAAAATGAATGACAACTTTGCAAAAACACCAAAGAAAAGAAACACCAAAGGCCAAGTTTAAAATTAAATACGTACTTGGATATGTCAGACTAAAGCAGTGAAACTACAAAAATAAAAAGAAGTTTTTTTTTTCAAGCAGGAATATAGTTAAAAATTAAACTTAGTGTATAAAAAAGATAGAATACTTTTAAAATGCAATGATAATTAGATTTAAACTAGAACCTGGTTCAAAAAGGAATACATGTTGTGTCACAAAAACCATTTGCATAAAATGTTGAAGAAAATATATTTTTCTATTGTCAAACTTCTCTACATTAGAAACAGTAGTCTAGCAGGAATTAAGGGAGGGTAGCTACTTAAGTGAGTGACTTTATACTCTTGGGTGAAAGAAGAATGACTTAATTTCTCATGACAAGGTAAGCAGGATAAAGTTCCTTTTATCTTTGAGTTCCGCTCCTCTCAAAGACTCTAGGGTATCATATGGGGTGACTCAGGGGGCTGTGCATGTGGTGGGTTTGCATCACAGCAAAGGAACCTTAGAGAAATCCCAGTATTCTATATGGACTCCAAGAATATCAGATTGAACATTGCTCAGTATTTATTATATGAGATGATAAACAAACCTGTGTTCTGCTGTGGCAGGAGAGACTCTTTTGTCTAAAGCTGTTTTCTCTACTACCTTGAAAAATCATCCAGAATGAAAGGAAGATTAGTACTAATTTTCACAAAACCTGCGACAACTTAAAAGACCCATGAAGAATTGACTCTCAGTAGCTGCTTCTAAGGATTTGCCTAAGTAATTGTCATACCCATACTAGGAAATGTCCATACAAAAATATTCATTTCACTTATGCTTTGACTATCAAAAGGTTGGAACAAAACAAGATGATCAAACTTAGAATAAATATGTCACTGTGCTTGTATGAAATAGAAAATATCCCAGGAGTTAAAAATGAATGAGGTAGGTTTATATTTGTCTCTATGGCTAGATTTCAACTGTATACTTGAGGGTGATGCAGAAAGTTGCAGAATAACAATGAATAATCATTTATATTTTTAAAAAATCATTCAACAATGTTATGTCTTCTTTACCATATGCCAAAGAGTTAAAAATATCATTAAACATGTTCAAATCAAACATATACTTGGCAAAGATATACATCAAATTCAGAAGAGTAGATAACTGTGGGTACAAATAGTGAATCCTGTAGAAAGTAAAAACAGTATTGTGTAATCACTTATTTCTGACTCAAGAGTGGCATCCTGATAATATGTTTCAAGTCTGATGCCAAGTATTATTGTCTCTTAATTTCTGGATGAGTTCAGCATATTTTACAAGCTTAGCATATTTCCTGGCACAAAATAGACACTCACTTATTGCTTCAACAAGTGTGTACTTAAATATTACCTATGTCAGTTTCTACAAGTGATGATCTCATCACAAGTATAGGCAGTTCTTGCTTTCAAAGATTTCTAGCATGATAAAACAATTACAGCTTAGTGTTACAAAGAAAAAGCATGTGCTTCAACAAAGACATTGAAGGGGTCCTCCAGTTCTGGAGTGGGAAGTAGGATTATTTCCTGATGTGAGAGATAGCTAAACTGATAACTGAATCCTCAGTGACATTTAGTCAAAAAAAAAAAAAATAAAAAAGAGGGAAGGAATAAAAGTTTTAGGCAGGAAGCTAAACACCCTAAGGTGGAGACGTGTAGCATAGTGAGATCAAGGAAATGGATAAATTTCCATTTCTTCAAAAATGTATTGAAAGTGGAATGTCTTTCAAAATAACTCTTGAAAGTGGGATAAAAATTTTTAAGTTGACTAGTGACCCAAATTTTAGTCCTCACAGACTTCTGTAAACCATGAGAATTGTTTATTTTTTTAAGGTTTTTTTTCCATTAAAAAAAATTGACCAAACTATTTAAGAAGGGGAGTGAAATAGTTTGAATTTGGAAAGAGCAATCTGGTTGCTATATACATACTGGGTCACAGGGGCAAGTGTGGTGGCATTACTCATCTTTAGTTTTAATTATTAAAAATTATTAAAAATAAGATCATCAATAGTTTCTCCTTGGTGGATAACAATACCAGCCCCACTTCAAATGTTTATGCCTTTCCTCTAGGGATGTTTATGTCAGGAAACCATTCCCAATGGGTCTCTTGACTGTTTTCATGTTTTGCAAACAGAGCATTAACTTCTCTTTTGTTCCAGACTATCTTTCCTAGGACGTTCATAGAACTATCATCCTTGGAAGATAGAGATAGTGTCTCCCCAGGAACAAAGGACATACTCATTTATTGTCTAGTGTGGTGAGGATAATGACTCTCTTTGGCACAGAATTTGACATGTTTGCTTGCAAAGATGATAAAGCATCCATGCTGTCTGCACCCCTGATTTCTCAGCTGCTACAAAAATGCATTCACTGTGTGTACATCATGTGCCAGGCTCTTCCACAGCACTCTTATTTACTCAGAGGTCAAGGGGAAATAATGCTAGCTAGTCAGAGTTTATGCTTCCGGCTGTGACATGAATAAAACTTCCTTTTGTCTGACCCAGGAACCTTTTGTCATCTGTCAACATCCGTAAATTTGGGACAGATTAATCTTGTGAATTTGGTAAGGTTTCAATTCTTTCACATTTCTTGATACTTCACTGGACTAATTCCCACCACAAAAATTGGTAAAAACCACATTTCTATATTAATGAAATTATCCCATATTATATTATCTATCTTCTAGTAATATAAGAATATTGAAGTTATCCCAGAAATGGAAATCTTGATAGTGTTTATGTCTGGAATTACACAAGCTGGCTTAAATCCTCATCCCAACTAAGATGTCCCTCCCCCATTTATCTCATGGTGATGATTCTACTTACCACCGGATTTGCTTGTTAAGTAATTAACTTGAAGACAATATTCATGTTTTTTTCAGATCTTCCCCATCCTCATTAGATCTTTCCTGCCATATGTTCTATCCCTCATTAACTTGGAATCTGCTAATTTATCTGAGCATTGCAAGAAAAAAAGTGCTGTCTTGAATGTTCCATCTTGTTTATATAAAAGTTTCTTTATTTGGGAACTATTTTCTTATTATTCACTCTGACATATGCTTGGAATATAATGGTAGAAAACAGCAGCATGGAGCTAATATCCTGCTCAAGGAAACAAGATTTCTAGGAAAGCAAATACATCTATTCAGAGAAAATGTGATGCAAACATTCACTGCTTTGGTTAATAGCCACTTTTTTTTCTTAATATAGAGATGTAAATCTCTGGTAAAGTTTTCTATCCTTTTATGTTTTCTACATTTTCTCTATTTTCTTGAACATATTAATCTTGATTTAGATTGCACAATTATTGCCAACTAACTCCGCAATCTAACTCTGCTATCTGGACTAAATACATTTATTTGTTTACTTGATTGTTGAGAAGATGATAGATGGAGAAATGGAGACACAAGACTGGGTCATATGGTCTTATTTCTTGATATGTCAGTAAGTTTTGATTGGATAACACATAAAATA